ATAACATGAGTTCTGATTGGTAAGAGACCTATAACATGAGTTCTGATCGGTAAGTGACCTGTAAGAAAGTTATGATTGGTAAGAGACCTTTAATACGAGTTCTGATTGGTAAGAGAGTTCTTATATGAGTTCTGATTGGTACGAGACCTGTAACATGAGTTCTGATTGGTAAGAGACATGTAACATGAGTTCTGATCGGTAAGTGACCTGTAACAAAAGTTCTGATTGGTAAGAGACCTTTAATATGAGTTCTGATTGGTAAGAGACCTGTAACATGAGTTCTGATCGGTAAGTGACCTGTAACATGAGTTCTGATCGGTAAGTGACCTGTAACAAAAGTTCTGATTGGTAAGAGACCTTTAATATGAGTTCTGATTGGTAAGAGACCTTTAATATGAGTTCTGATTAGTAAGAGACCTATAACATGAGTTTTGATTGGTAAGAGACCTGTAACATGAGTTTTGATTGGTAAGAGACCTGTAACATGAGTTCTGATTGGTAAGATACCTGTAACATGAGTTCTGATTGGTAAGTGACCTGTAACATGAGTTCTGATTGGTAAGAGACCTGTAGCATGAGTTCTGATTGGTAAGAGACCAGTAACATGAGTTCTGATTGGTAAGAGACCTGTAACATGAGTTCTGATTGGTAAGAGACCAGTAACATGAGTTCTGATTGGTAAGTCCTGCAAGATCTGAATGTGGCTTGCATAAATTCCACCTACATACATTTGTATCTGCACTGAATTGAGAAAAGTCATACATTTTCTTTCTGCTTCATGCAATATTATGGGTAGAAAACAGTGGGGTACCAAAAATGTCCAAACAAATTTGGGTCATCTGACAATTTTTCATGAAAAAAGAAGAGTCCGAAATGTCCAGGAAAATGTCAAATTTTTACTTACATTTTTGTGATTGTATTGCATGGTAGAGTTTTTGTTTATATTTCAAAATGCTTGCCTGTTGACATGGGTAAAAAAGTTGTATATTGGTATTGCCCATCTATTGTCATAAGAAAAAAAATTGTTCTGCAGATTGAAGGATCTACTTAGAGGAGTAAACAAAAAGAATAAGCTGGTTGAATACAAGCCTCTGGGTGCTTTGAAAAAACAGAAAACAACATGGGGACGAAGGAAACTTGGTAAGTATTGGCGATATATTCACCAGCATGACAAATCAACCTGTGTTTGTATGTTAATTTATAACACAATAAAATATTGACAGTTGTACATCACGGTTTAGGAATGTAAGATGTTGTGAAATTTCTATATATATATTATGTGACATTCAATGAAGAGTGTGTGAAACTCAAAACTGCCCTACAAACATACATTTTTAGAAACTTTAAATGTATATAAGGGAGTCTGTGGAAAAATATACTGACTAGTGTTGGGCGTGTTTTAGGTAGTTTTCTTGTATTTGCAAAGCATGTGTGTTACAGTGAAAATCTTGTTAGCGTCTATTTACACATTCAAACTATTTAAAGTGGTCTCTTCATTCTGTGATGCCATTGGTTAAAATAAAGAATATGTTTTTTTTAAAAAGTTTCACAATATTTTATTTTCATATTTTTAAGACCTTGAAGATAACTGGAAAACACTGTATTTTTGTTGTTCTGTTTAGCAGTAACAGTTTTTACTAGCTTGACTAGCTTGGAGCTTGACTCTTCTGTTTTTTTCAAAAATAGGTCTTTAATTTCCAAAAATATGGTTGGGATAAGTCTTGAAAAAAGTCTTAAATTTCAAATGATTAAACCTTTGGATGTGCACGTGGAACTAACTAAAGATTATGAGATATCTTCATCATGTATCTTTTGGTAAATCAAATCTGTATAAGGTACTTTTTTTTATGATTTATTGAATGTATATTCCACACTAAAATTTAATAAGTAGTAGTCATCTAGATTTCCCAAATATTGAAATAATAAAAAAAATCTATGAGATGGTTTATTTCACATAAAAAATTCCTAGAAAAGATAAGGATATAATTTTGAATGTAATTTATAACAAATCAGTGAAAATCAGATACATTGATAGAAAAGAATCCTTTTATATATATTGTGTCCTTTCAAAAATACATTAATTTTTTTTTTTATTTTGTTGGGATTACATGTTTGCAGTTAAGAGGATACTAAAAAAAAAAAAGTACCCGGTAAATTAAATTAAAAAAAAAAATAGTATATTTGTTTTCTGTCAACTTCTTTGTAATTGGATGTGTTTGGTTAATGCTGATTTAATTAAAGTGGCCATGATGACTACAATTTTTGTCTGTCACATGTATTCGTAATTATTAAAAAATTAAAAAATTTCTGGTTACTGCACACGTCAGTTAAAAATTAAAAATGTGTATGTCACAGCTTTTTTTTTGGGGGGGGGGGGTAATTTAAAAGTAATTAACTTTTCAGAAAAGTAAAGCACAAAATAAAACACTTGTATACATCAATTAAAAAAAATCATACATTTTTTTTTCTACTTGGCCTAATGTGTCCATGCATGGCTCTCAGTTAAAATAAGTTAGAGTTGTACATGTGCAAGGTCATGGTTCACTGATTGAGAACACTGATTCAGTCTGTCAGGTACTGAATGCCATGTTATGTATTTAAACTTAATTTCAAGATCATGTGTGCATGGTGCTGAAAGAATACATACTAATGTGTGTCTCACAAACCCATAATGTGTAATAATATGATCTGACATACGAGATAAAATCCTGATATGGCTAGAAAACTAATTATAATATACATGCATACTATTTTGGTATGTTTTATCAATGTACATGGAGATATTTAAAAAAGATATGTTTTGTTTTTTTATGGTTTGCTGGGCTCAGAATTCCATGCTTAACTAATATAGAAATGAGTATGGTTAAAAATGCAATGAACCCGAGTCAATTAAAACTCATAGTGGGTCATATATTCACCAGACTATGGAAAGATTATACTATTAAAATTGTTGAGTTTTAATAGAAAGACATGCAACACAGACACTTGTAGTCATCATACCTGTACTATCAACCATTTAATTACTGTAAAACATGTCTTTTTAGCTGGCATGTTATTTTAGCTAATCTGTAATTTCGCTAATTCAAATTTCACTAATTTAAAAATAAAGTGTATTCTCACAATGAGATTGTTGACACTTTAGCTAAATTAAGATTCAGTTAATTCATGCATGGAGTCAAATTCGCTAAAATGGCATGTAGTGTTACAGTATTGTTGCTAGAAATTTCATGATTTTATGGAATTTGTGAAGACATTTTTTTTTTTGCAAAAGTTATCAGAAAAATTCTAACTGCCTCATTTTATTACACTTTTGATACCACAATTTTCAACCTTTGACTGCCAACATTTGGTGCCACATTTTCCCTTATCTTTGTAATTCATTTGTAATTCTGGGTCAAAATGACATAATAATCTAGGACCCAAATGAACATAATTAATTTTGGGTCAGATGGACCTAATAATTAAGGACCAAATGGGAAAAAAAAAAGCATGTTTTTTTTTTTTTTTGGTGAAACTTGAGAAAAGTTGACTTTAGCCTCAAATGGTTATGGATGGCTGGAATTGAACCTGTGACATACAAATTTACCTCCACTATCATTCCAATGCCCTTGTGTAAAGTGGAGAAACTGCCATAATGTTTATAATAACTTCACTTTACTGTTAAACTTGTGACCTTTTCAGTAAGTGATCTTTTGAGTCAGTGACTACACCTATCTGTAATGTAAACTGATACTAACACAGCCAGTGGATTTACATTCCTCAATCTAAGGGGCGCACCATTCCACATTTTGGGGGTGGTCTTTCAAATGTTTACTCAAAGAAGAAAAAATGTATGTATGTATTCATTAAGTTCTTAAAAACTTGAAAAACTTAAAAATAACACATCCTAGGAAGCAAGAACAATCGCCTTCCACACACGCACACACTCCATCTGCAACCCTCCTTAAGATTAAAATGGCTCACCCTTAATAAAACTGGACATCAAGATTTATTTACATTTTAATCATGAGGAAATTAACCTCAAATGTATCAAGGATTTTCTCTTAAATTGAGTAAAGATTGAATTTGATAGCATTGTTTAACCTCCAACCTATACTGAAGCCTTGAGGGACGACCTCCTCCAAACATTACAAACACAACCAGCACTTCAAGACAGGCCTATGATGTCATTTCCTGTCTGTTTCATCTCAAAAAATGCTTTCAACACTCACTTTTCTGAATTTAATTGAAACAAAATGTATTATGTTAAAACTTTTGCTGTGACTCTCTGTCATATTAATTATTTTAAAATCTAGTCAATAGAATTTCTCAATTAATTTTGTTTGCCCCCCCCCCCTGTTTTTTCTAATTTGATTATTCTATGAAAAGTATGATGTCATCCTCTCAAAATATTGTCCAGCCATGACACAGACAGGGGGAAACCCACTTCACCAAAGATGGTTATCACATGTCTCATGAATATTCATTATCATGTACCACTAATTTTGTAGGGTAGAAAATTCCTTGTCAGTCTCATTTTTCTCTAAATATAATATTTTAATGCTTGCATATGACAAGGGGTACTGTGAAATTAGTGTTATATGAGTACTTGTCAATTTATAAACATACAGATTTCACTATAAGATTACAATGCCCCTCCACTGTTACCCTTTGATCCCCATGATTTAATGGTGTAGTCCAGCATGCAATTGACATACATTTCCTGTCCAACTGTGAGCATCTTCACAACTTTCTATTTTGCTGGGAACTGTCTATTCTGTGTTATTATTAATCTCCAACATCAGTTCAGATGTGGCAAGTAAGTAGGATGCCCATGATGAATGTCTACTTGGCTGCTGTGTGGAGTACATCACTGTTGTGTTATGCAACACAGGGCCTTGAAGGCCAGATTGAATACTCTCTCACTGGAGGTGCTTGCAACTGGGACAACAGTGCAAAACTATTTGACTGCAGTCATCGTCAACTGCACAGTATACCACACAATCATAGCAGTGATACTGTGAAATTATTCCTAAATAATAACCTGATTCAATCTGTATCATCCAACGACTTTCAAGATTTACCAAATTTAAAGACGCTCTTCCTGGACTCTAATAAGATTAGCCACATTGATGATGACTCTTTCTCCAGACTCCTTTCGCTTACTCATTTGCGTTTGTCGGATAATCCACTTAGAGAGCTGTCGCCAGCATTACTGCAACCTCTCCAGAATCTGGAGACCTTGAAGCTCTCTTCAATTGAACTGACGTTTCTCCCAGATGGTGTGTTCAGCGGTTTGTCAAAACTACGAGAGTTGGTCCTACGACGGAATGTCATCTCCCAGCTGTCACCAGGAATATTTGCTGATTTGTCCAATTTGTATAACCTTGATTTATTTGACAATTCTATTGGAACGCTTCAATCTAGTACCTTTCAAGGACTGATTAAACTGTCCTACCTGGAGCTCTCCGATAATGACTTGTTCGATCTGCGTGAAGGGTGTTTTGATGGGTTGGCAGCCTTAGATAATTTAGATATGAACTACAATGACCTCGAGGTCATACCTACGGGTACGTTGTCCTCGCTTGTAAATTTAGGAACATTGCAGTTAAGCCACAACAGACTCCGAGAAATACCGCCCGATGTTGGTCAGCTTCGTAACTTAATTGAACTGCGAATTGACGATAATCTCATGGGGACCGTCAGTAGTGATAATTTTGTTGGTTTAAGAAAACTATATTCACTGCATCTCTCGGACAACTTGATCAGTTCTGTTGATACGCTGGCGTTTTATGATTTACACAACTTAAAAGAACTCAAATTGGATTCAAATCGACTGACCTATATTCACCCTGACGTGTTTGTTAGACTGTATAATCTAGAGCTTCTTTGGTTAGATGACAACCAATTGTCCATGCTTTTTACTCACAGCCTAAAATCCATGCCACTACTGTCTGACATCAGACTGTCAAATAACATCTGGAATTGTAACTGCTCTTTCTTAGAAACAGTTGATTATATTCAGCGTTCTGCTTTAATTGAAATCACCGATGACGTTCCTGGCCGATGTGTATTCCCAGTGGAACTGCGCCTCACTCCGTTGACTAACTTAGGGGGTCACAGCATGAAGTGCAACATCAGTGCAACATCTTTAGAGTTGATTACCGTCAAACCCACTGTGATGGACACACCCACTTACTGTGAAGATTTACCTATAGTATTAGGTATTTGTCTGCCGATCACTGTGCTCGCTGTTGCCTCTACTATAGTGATGGTTGTACTATGGCGGCGACGTGTAAAGATGGTTGAATCATTGCAGGAACGTTATGTTCAGTATAGCAGTGAGCGAGTAACGTACGTTGACTTTAATGGCTCAAAACAAGATCGAGTTCGACCACCAGAATTGCCTAGGGAGTATGAGTATGCATATACTGGTGTGTCTTCTGACTCTCCTGAGAACGCTCGTGACTATGACGAGGCTGATAACTTCCCCGAGCACACATACCATTCACTGCGATCAGACAATCAACTGGAGTCCGCTGATGGATACTTGGTACCGGTGTCTGTGATGGGCACAGGACAGTTTAAGACATGAGTCATGCTTTTTTTGTACTTTCTCAACGGAAGAAATTTTCAAAGACTACAAGTAGCCATCACACACACTCACTCACTCACTCCTTTTAAAAATTGCAAAATTATTAGCAACTGCAAAATTATTAGCTGATTATAATAAAATTATTATAACATATTACTTTGGCTTTAAATCTTGATTAATCATAAATTTAGTACTGTTAATATTTCTTCTCTTTTATGTTATTTTCATACACATTTGAAATATTGTTTTATATATTGAGATCACCTAAAATTTCCTGACTGCTGTTTCTATGTTAAATCTCCAAATTTTGGGGTCAAAATTCCTTTTGATAATTTTGTAAACATATTCAGTGAAAGAAAATTCTGGTGACGTGTTTATATCGGAATTTGAGAACAATACATTCAGTGGTGTTATCCCTAAAGTGTCTACTTCAAAAAAGATTATGCTGTCTCCTGAACTTTGACCTTTTGGTGAATTTTGTCTTGGTAACATCCAACTTGTGGATAAAGATTTTATTCGTCTTTGAATTTTAATTTGCATTTTCTTGTTGGGGTAATTGTAAAAACTTTTGTTATTACATTTGGTGATATCTTTTCAACACAAATGTGTGTGTTTTTTTTTTGGGGGGGGGGGTGCTTTTAAAAATTACTGCTGCCTAACCATTGTAGTGTGATCCATCTTTGTTGTGATCGTAACTGTTTATTTAGCTGTATATATAGCGCCATCTAGTGGCAGAAAAATTGAACCCACTGTAAACTTTTATTGACTTGTTTTGAAAACGTTCTCATCAAAACATGTTAACATTCAAAATTATTAATAACTGAAAATCAAGAAGATGTATAAAATGTGCATAAGGTCTTGTACTGTCATGGTAACAAAGTCTACTATTTTCAAAAGTCAAATCATGAGATCATTGAAGTACTGTAAAATCTGTATTAGAAACCGTGGCTTCTATTAAAATGGTACAATGCAACAGAGGGAATGCGGCTTCTATTAGAGCATCTACACATATGAGAAATGATGAATTTTTGGTTCGCAATTATTCAAAAAGAATGGGTGCGACTTCTATTAGGGATGCGGCTTCTAATACAGATTTTACGGTACTGATAATCGCATTTAAGATGTTAAATCCTTTAATTGTTTTATTGGGTTTTTCACAATGTTGCTTTACATTGTTGTAAGCTTTGTCCATTACTTACCGTTTGTCCAGTTAAGGTAATTCTAATAATGTGTAGCTTCCTTCCTCCATATACTTTCTCACACAAGGCTCTGATGAGCCTAAATATTGCATATATAATTAATTTAAAATTTATTTATTTGCGGATGAATTTTTCTTCCAATGTATGGTTGTAATATATGATTGGAACATTTGGCTTTCCGTCTCAGACTCTGTCAACACAGAACTGCTTATTACTCTGTGATAATATGCTCCTTGTAGTGTAAATAAGAATGCAACTGCAATTTTTGTATTATTGTAATAACTCCAACCATCATTTATCCCTTCCATGGGATGTGCCTACCCTCCAGGATGTCCAGTGATTTTTTTATAAATTATTAAAAAATGTTACAGTAAATGTTTAATTCGTAACCACACTAAATGTGAAATGTTCAAAGTTGTTTATGACAACAATAAAAATGGTTGCTTTTATTTTTAGCTTCCATTTCCATTTTACAAGTCATTAATTTTTTTTCTTCCTTTTTGACTCCCATGTGCGAAGCACAAAATGGGAGTCTTTGCAGTTAGTGTGTCTGTGTGTGTGTATGTGTGTATGTGTGTGTGTGTGTGTGTGTATGTGTGTCCGACTGTTCCACTGCTATCTCAAGAACCATACATCGGTTTTTGATGAAACTTGGTGCATAGATGCTCTGGGCCAATGCGCAGATTTGATTAGGTTTTGGTAAAAATCCATGCTCGTTAATTACCTAATTTGCATGATAATTAGCTAATTTTTAGCTGTTCTATGACTGTTCCACTGATATCTAAAGAACCACTCATTGGATTTTGATGAAACTTGGTACATAGATGCTCTGAACATATGCGCAGATTTGATTAATTTTTGGTAAAAATCCGTGCATATTAATTACCTAATTTGCATAATTATTAGTAAATTTTCGGTTTTTCCACTGTACTAATCATCACATTTCAATGAAATTTGGTACATAGATGTCATACGACACTGCACAGACCTGATAGTTTTTATGGTAATATCAGTACATATTAATTACCTAATTTGCATAATTAATTAATTTTCAGCATTTGATATAAGTAGTTAGCATTACATTTCAATGAAACTTGGTACTTACATACTCAAGGACTATGCAGAGATTGATTGTTTTCGATAAATATTTGTGCATATTAATCACCTAATTTGCATAATTTTCAGCTTTTCCACGGGTATCTCAAGTACTAATCATCGCATTTCAATGAAACTTGGTACATAGATCCTTTAGGACTATGCAGAGACCTGATTAGTTTTAGGGTAAATAATTGTGCATATTAATTACCTAATTTGCATAATTAATTTTCAGCTTTTCTACTGATATCTAAAGTACTAATCATCACATTTCAATGAATCTAGAATTATGCAGACCCAATTAGTTTCCGGTAAATATTTGTGCATATTAATCACCTAATTTGCATAATTAACCAACTTTCACACTGATATCTCAGGTACTATACATCACATATCAATGAATGTACATGGATG